TTTTGGATATGAAAATTTTATTCGCACTTGGAAGAAATGATAGATTCGCTTACGGCAAACAGACATATATATATATGTATATGTATATACATATTCTTATACATATTATGTGTACAGGTGTATATTATTTAAATCTTGTCATTTTTTTGTGGAATACAATACATGCGTAGTTGTGCAGCGTGCAGGAATTGTTAAAATTGATTACAAAGACAATGAACCCATAGTTACATTTCGTGCAAGTGGGACGAAATTCATATTTGGTTAAACGGATTATTGCCCTTTTGGCGTAAAGAAAACACACATGACGTTTTTAGACGACTTTTATGCGTACAAATATAACTCTCGGGCATGGCATAAAAATGTCATTTTTGAAAATGGAGATGACATTGCAGTCGTCTTTAGTAGAGAATGCTAGACAAGCATAATAAGTGAATTTTTGGTGCAAAAATTAAATGATTTCGATGACATATGACTTTAAGGGACAGTTGGAATATGCTTTATATCTTGTGGCACTCACAAAAAAGCCTATGTGAGCTTGCCTTAAAAATCTATTGAACTTTTTTTACTTTAAGGTAATTTTGGAACTTTGAAGTACTCGAATAAACCAAAAACTGTCAATGACCTTAATCACGAAAGTTATTCCTGTTATTTGTTACTGGAGAAATAAGAGAAGATTTATGTAAAAAAATTAGTAGTAAAATTGGTGAGTTTTACAAAAGCACAACAAATAAAATTTATAGCTCTTATATGACTCTTAATGCCACATTATAGAGTACCCAGTTTTATATTGAATGCACTTAAGGGACAACAACACTAACTGTTTATGATATTTGCGAAGTTATATATTATACACAAAATTACTGCAATAAAACTCAAAGCTAATTACTTGGAATATCCTTTTTGAATTATTTAAAATTTCGCATCATCTCACTTTTTTTTCTTTTATCAAGTTTAGGTACTTTTGAAGATCGTTTAAGTCAATAAAAAAAAGACATTAAAAAATATTGCAAGAGATAACGTTACCCATAAAGCATACGAATTAGTATTATCCTCTCATATATACTTACCTCCCTAATTGCTCAAGATTGATGATAATGGCAAATTTTCTTAATTTGTATGTGTACAGCTTGTTTTGTTTTTAAAATTAACCTCTGAATGACTTAGGGGATTCTTTTTATTTGTGTGACACAGTGGCGGTCAGAAAAAAAGTGGCGAAAGGCAAAACGATAAGGAAAAATGGTGGCTGCTGCCTAGAGGATGTATGTACGCACTCACTACGACTAAAGTATATATATATATATAATAGGTATTGCGTTGTCTAAAAAATATTGAGCTAATAAAAGGATATAGTATAACTTAGTATCACGCATGTCAATGCCTGCGAGCATAAATTAAAAGTAGACATCCTAGACGTTAAGCAAAACGTTAGACTATCTATGACATGCTGCAAGTGTAGCGTGCACCTGTTACAAATATAGTTCTCTTCGTGTACAGCTTTCTGATTTGTTCCATTTCGTTTGTGATTTTTCATTGTATTAATGAGTCTTTTTTTTCGCATTTCTGTTAATAAAGTCTGTGTCATTTTTTAGGACATTTACGTGTTCAGAATATAACGAAATAAAATTTAAATAAAAATTGAATGTTTTTTTTTTTTAAGTGAAATACAAATGCTTTTGAATTAACAATCACGATACGATAAAAATGAATTTGCAATCAACGAGCGAAACAAAAAAGAAGTAATTATTTGAAATATCATAAAGTTTCCCACAGTTCCGTTAGGATTTCAAATGGGCGGCTTTATGCGTTTGCAAGCAAGATAATAAAAAAAAAATGAGATAATAATAGTTACAAAAAAAAAAAAATAAATAAATAAATAAACAATAAGAGAAAAGCTTACATGTTGCTTAAGTCGTTTCTTATGCATGGTACCTTTAATCAAAGTAAGGGATAAATAATGGAAACCATTGATCCAAAGATTTCGCATATAACATAGGTAAAACTATTTAAAAATGTCATTTCGGGATCTCATCTGAACATTTGGCCCCGAATAAATATAACTTTTGTTTTAATCTCTTTTTATATATGAAAGTGAATTCCTGTATGTTTAGGGACCTGGATTCGACTTAAATTTTTAACCGCATCAATCTAAGTGGAATTTCCTGAATTTGATTTGGTCTTTTCTATTTTTTAATATCATCCATTCCCCATACGCGTCCACACACTGCAATGTTCAGAAAGAAGTGAGCGGATGGGCAGATAGAGTGTAGCCGAACCCTGGAAAGTGCACAGTCCACCAATAACGGTTATTCTTTACCAATCGAGCATTTACTATTATAGTCGTATAGACGATCTACCGCTTTAGGAGTTGAATCTGAGTACGCAGACTTAATAGTCGGGCCTTTAAGCTTTGTATGTGTTTGGAATAACGGAATAATGCTTCCTTTTAATACTTGAGAGAATCATTTATTTATTTTTTTTTAAATATATCTGCAATTACCGTTCGCTGTTGTAAAGTACTAACATAACATACATGCAGGTAACTGTAAATGTTGCTAAAATGCATTACGATATGTAATGCAATAGTATTTATATATAAGTCCTTTAGACTCATCACTGAACAGTTTATGCAATTTGTCAAAAGATTGAATTACCTAAAGGATACAGCGTAAAGTACCTACATTTCCGATTAGTATGAATAACTGAATCGATATGCATCAGCTTCGACAATCGTATAAAATTTGGAACCACTTAGTCAAGAAAACATATAAAAACTCATTGGAATATACGGTACACATACAGTATTTAGTTTACGCACTGACGAATTGAATAAAAATGCCATTCATTTATGTGGGGTATAGATTAGATAATGGAAGAATCAATGAAAAGAATATCAATCAATGAAAGAATATAAATAAACTATTGGCGGATATTGAAGAAGATAGCCAAAGCCGAATATAACTTTTTTGGTGATTATTATATTTAAAGCCATCAGTTCTAGTGTAAGTAAAGCTTTCAATTATATGTTCTTTAAAGCGCTCAGGTCAAACTCAAATCAGTTCGTGGATTCGTTTAGAATTGTCAAGCAACGACATAACTAGTGTTTAGAATATCGTGAAAATACAAATTGAAACGACCTCACGATATGCGATATACGATAAAGATGTACGATATTTACGATAAGACATACGATGCATATCAGGCGAATGAATCTGTCTTTACTTTGACTTGTACGTAAATCTACCTGGGGGTATTGTTACCGATACCGCCGCCTTATCTATGATGAAGGGGGCCTGTCTACGTGTTGATCAGCGCCAGCAGATCAACTAACGAAAGTCAATGGCGATCAGATACTATAGAAAGAATTACATGGAAGTATTTTTTCCGTAAAGAGATCCAAACGGGGCTTACTTTTTCAATCTCATGGCTTTTAAACCGGTTATGTTAATTAGAGTTAATATAAATAGTCAAAGTTGTTTAGGAATAAAAAGAGGAAGACGAAGAATATTAAACTCGTTTTAGGCCTAGCGTCAACAGGTATTCATATTAAACTTCACTTAAACTTTTCTCTGTTTTCTGTTTATTGCTTCAAAAAAGATTAACAATTATTTTATTACTTAACTGTAAAATATGATGGTTATCTATGGATTTCTTTTGTTTATATAATTAAAAAAAAAAATCTCAAATACTTTAACTCTCAAGAACTTTAAACTTTGTATGCTTCTGTAACTTCAAAAAGCTGTAAATTTTCTACTCACAATATCAAAAAAAAAAAAAAAAAACATTAATAGTAAATAAATCAGGAAGATTTTTGATTCAATGCTAAAATACAAGCCCTTGGTAGGCGATTAATTAAGAAATTGTAAAATTTTACAATAGTGAAAGGCAAATTCCACTACACAGGTATCTATATTATTGAAGTCATTTATTTTTTTTTTCCTTTTTGCGGAGATTCTTATCTCGTAAATTTTAAACGTCACATATACTTAATACAGTTAATGTACTTGTCAAGTGTATGGATATCAGTAGCTAGCTAGTCTTATCTGAAAAGAAGCTATTGGATACTATTGCACTATTATTTAACAGAAGAGAGAATTGCAATAAATAAAATGTTTAGCGATAATATATCGAATCGAATGCATTTTATATATATCTATAACTATGTATAAAAAGAAACTAAACAAGAGAGCGAGAGAGAGAGAGAGAGAGAGAGAGAGAGAGAGAGAGAGAGAAAAATAATTTATATACGCATACAAATAAAGGCAATATAAAAATAAAAATAAGTTCCATGCGATTGTGTGAGATCGTATTAAGCTGGGGTTGTTTGTGGACATCAGAAGTATAGAAGTAGTATATTTGCGCGCGTGTATAAGTGTACGCGCAAGCATAACAAGTGTTAAATGTTCTTGCCGGTTATTTTTTTTATGTTTACAAACAGCTACAGATCAATACAGAGGCTTCGTAAGAGCAAATAAATTGCAAAAAAAAACAGAAAACACAAACACCATTATAACAGTAACGGTGTGATTTTGCTTAGATATTGTATATTTGCTTTTTGTATACATGTTTTCGATTGCGCTGTGTAAGCTTAAATGACCGTATGTGTGTGTTTTGATTGAAATTCTTTTCTGCTTTTGCTATTTGAGATCGAATGAGTGTGAGACTTCAGAAGGCAGGAAAGAAAAAAAAAAAAAAAAAAATTGCAAAAATCTGACTTGGTCAAGTAGGGTTATTTCTAGGGGTTCATTCAAGTGCGAGCAACGCTAGCGAACAGTTCAGTCTTCATTTAAGAATCTCTTCAAATATACACATAGCGATCATACCAATTACATATACATATATATATATGTAATATATATATATATATATACATGCGGATATAACGCATATGTTCTTAAGTGATTCCTTATTAAAGAAAACATATTCTATAGATGTAAATAAAATTTTTCCATTTTTCAACTTTTATTTTTGTTCTTCATTGAATGTCAAAATTTTGTTGCCTTTGAAAGAAAGAAAGAAAGAAAAGAAAGTAAAAGAAAAAGAAGAAGCAAATATGAAAGAAATTTCGAAATTTTCATCTCAACGCTACAGTATTGTAAATTCTGATGATTGTGATTATAATGATAGTAAGTCTCAAAATCAACAGCAGCAGCAGCACCAACAGCAACAGCAATTGCAACAACAACAAAATGTGGCATCAAACAATGAGACAAAGAAAAGCTTAAAAAATAATTGCCGTTCTGTTGGCTGCTCTGATGTCTTGAACTCATTTTTCCATCAACGAAGACAAAATAAACGAGCGCGACCGCCAAAACGTAAGTGATAAAGTGAAGAACATTTCTTTTAAGTTTTTAGTGAAGCACTTTAATTGAAATCGAAATTAAAAATTAAGAAATTATTTATATGCAAAGTTTTGCACGATTTTTAAAATTTTTAGAAAAACTTTTTAAAAATATTGTATTTATTTATTTATTTATATTTTTTTTGATTAAACTTGTCTAACTAGTTTTGTATGTTAAGTGTTATGAAAAATTTTGTGACAAAAAAGAAAAAAAAAAAAAACAATCTATAAAATAATTAATATATTAAAGTCAAGTTCAAAATAACAAATGTTCGAAATTTAAAAAAAAAAAAAAAAAGAAAACAAGTAAGAAATTTGTATGCTTTATTTAAAACAAGAATTTCAAAATTTATATAATCCTTGCGCGATGAACACCACTTAAATGAATTTCGAAAAGTAACGTAAAGATTTACGTTTAATTATGGTGATACGAATAGGCCGGTAGGGACTATGTCTTTGTTTTTTTTTTTTTTTTTTTTTTTTTGTTAACCATTTGATCTTAACTTGTCGGCCAATGTCTACCGGGTATTTTAACATTTTTCTTCTCCTTCAAATTTTCTTAAGTTGTCTAACAACTAACGTTAACATGTAACGGCAATTTTTGGGAAATGTAGTGTAGACCGTAAATAAAGTTCTAGTCAGTTTGTTCTGTGCGATGCTGTGGCGGACAGGAATGGAAGTGATAATGATTACATTATGATCAAAAATACACGCGTATGTGAATCTACACACAGTTGCAAGCACATCTTATTACCTGAGTAAAATATTGTTAACAACATATTTTCCTACATAATAATCTATATTCTAAAGATATCTGAATGCTGTAAGTGATCTTTATTGATCTCTATTGCGAAGATATGGGAAAACCGTAAGTGATTTTCATTGAGGTTATGTCCGATCTACGAGAATGTATTGAATACCATTAGGAAAAGTTGAAGTCTTGACTAGATCGACATTAGCACAAAAAGAGGACAAGAAGAGCGATGAGCATTAAGGAAATGAAAACTTTCTATAAGTCATTTATGATCCGTTGTTTGGCTTAAAGCTTGCTGCTTACATAAGATGGGTGGCTTGTGTTGCTACATCGCGGCGCCTGAAAGCGTAAATTGATTGCCTTTCATATTCAAAATATAAATCTGGGTCACATGAAGATCAAAGTCTGTTCGTTTAGACGTCCGAATAGAGAAACAATTATAGATGACATTTGTGATTGGATAGAGTCAGCAGAGTCAATACTATACCGATTTTACAGATGTTCCCCAAGTTATAAAAAAATTAGTATACCATTGTTTTTATTTGATGGGTGCAATAATTTGCATGAATATGTTACAAAACGTCTAAGACGAGCTAAGACGACATTAAGTCTAAAACGACTCATCTCACATTAAAAAAAAGATGAATTTACGGTCAATACCCGTTTAGCACATTAATACAAATTACTGGGTTTAATATATATACATACATAAATATTTATATGTATATATATCTATATGTATATATATATATCTACAAATATTTATATATAAAAACGAAATAACAAAGAGAGCTACAATCGTCTACAAGATATTAACAAGAAATTCCGTTGACTTCTGCTTTTTACGTTTTTCTGTCTATTTAATGCTTTTAATACTTTTTTTTTTTTTTTTTCTTTTCAAGTCTAATTAGTATGTGTGTAAGCAATAATATATATGGCGTTAAATTTCATCGTCTTAACTACTAGACATCGACGTAATTGGCATGTGCAAGTATGTAGCAAGAGTGCAAGCGAGTTAAAAAAGAAAAAGAAAAACTCAAATTTATGTTACTGAATCGCTTTAAAGTGAAAGAATACAAAAAAAGACCAGAGAAGACCAAGTCTTATGAAGACATTAATTTTGTGTAGCCACGACCACCGTATCGTGAATTCAGTTTGAAATCTTTGTTTACTTTAGGCTAAATAGCAACAATGAAAAGTGTCATCATATCAATCCGTATAATTTCAAATCTATAATCGGTTGATTGTTGTTGTAATAAGAATATAATGACATCTTCGGCGTGGAGCTTTCAGATTATTTTTACGCACAAAAGAGTCCTTTTTGGAAACGCCAACGACAAGGCACTTGCGTAGAGAGTTCTTCAGGCTGTTGCATATTCTCTAAGTGAGAAATACCAATAGACCAAAGATACTCTTCGAAGTTGATCTCAAAACTTTTTGTATAAAGATTTTATTCGTTTTTTTTAAATTAATTTCTCTAACTTTTTCATTGTATTAAATATCGTAATGGATTTTGGTATATCTGTGTATATGCTTATATGTCTGTCCGTCTGTCCGCCTGTTGGAATCATGTTTATGACCACAAAACGTTGTCCAAAAGAACAAATCTAATTCGAAATTTTTCTTATTTGATAACAATACAAAAAAGATGGGATATTACATATCCAAAGAGTAGGAGATATTAAGTGGCGTTGTCTAGCCCACGCATTCTTCACGCATTGTATTAAATATCGCAATGGATTTAAGCATATTCATCTATCTGTTTGCTCTGACTGTACGTCTGTGTGTCTATCTGTTCAATTCATGTCTATGATCAGTAGAACAAATCAAGAGCAAGAAATTTTCTCCTATCACTTTCATCAGTTGTTTCCAAGAAACTGTATATTTTCCCTTTTTACTTATATTAAAGGCTTCAATAATTAGAGATTCCTTTGCATGATTTTAAAATTTTTTATGAATAAAATCGCAATCAGATCAAGGGTTTGTTTGTAATTGTCAGAAAAAAAAAGCATGGTATAAGCAGGCATTTGGCATGAATTTGGCTCTCCTGCAATGAAATATGGTACACCAGTTGAGAGATGTTGAAAGATTCAAGCAAAGACGAACACGATTTTATTTTGTTTTTTTCGTGTAGAAACGGAAGTTTTTCCCTAATTTGTTTGTTTTTTTCGTTCAATATGAAACATGCGTTCTTCCTATTATAGCCGTCATACATAAAACTAGTTAAATAATAAACAAAATTAACAATTAGAAATGTTATTTTCGTTAAGATGCTAAACCGGTTGTAAACGAAAATCAACACGAGACAAAAAAAGGAATAAAAAAAAAAAAAAAAAACACATTCACACAATATGTTGAAAAATTTGCTTATTAATAAATAGTCGAAAAATATAGATGAAGAAATTTACGTTATATGTTATATATGCAAGTTGTTCCGATATCCATTAATTTATTTATTTATTTATTTATTCCACTTATACAAGAAATTCAACTAAAAATTTTGGACAGTCAAGTTCAATTGACTCTTAAAGTAAATCTTAAATTAATTAATATTAAAACTTAGTATAAATGCAATAAAATAAATAAGAAGGAAAAAAAAAAGATAAAAAAGCATTTACACAACTAGCATAGAGCCACCCCCACAACTGGTACAGGACCAAATTGCGATTGAACCCCTAAGCCATCGCAAACATGCATAAGCTTGGCAACCGATAATAATTAACAATAATTCATTTTCGACTCATCGTGACATTCTAAGGTTAAGAGATAGTTTAAGTACGACATAGATAAATTACGCGCATTAAGCAATGTTGCTTTAATGGATAATAATGGATGTTGCTTTAAGTGATAAACATTATTTAGGTTATTGCAAACAACTCTGAGCGGGTTAAACTGTTCATAACTATATTTTTTTATTATTTGCCTTTTGCTCTCCTTATTAATTAAATAACTAAAGTAAAGAACGCGGAAATCATTTACTATTTGAATATAATGTTTTTTTTTTTTTGACGCGCCCACCATGGATATGTTTAGGCGGATGCAAGAAAGTACCAAAAACTGCTGAACGTAATATTTTCGTTCTTTCTTCTTCTAATAAAAAAAGAAGCCGCATATCATACTAATTCAACTTGACGGGTTCATTTCGAATCTTGAAATCCTTATTGATTTCAACAAAACCTTTGAAAGGGGTTCAGCTGGTTTTTAATTTTCCTTTGAACGCAGTAAAGCTAAAGGGCTTAAAAATAATGCCAATATTTTGTAAAAATTTCGCTTCGATTTAAAATTATTTACGCTAAGATGACACATGCGTGATCTGACTGACGTAGCCGCCCTATGTTCCAAACATTTGCTAAAAACTTAGTATGCTTAGTATTACATTTCTTTCGTTAGATACAACAACAAGTGAGAAAGTTACGTTCGCCTGAAGGCGAATCTCGCATATCGACCACGGTTAGGATCTTTGGCGCCTCATGTTTTTATTTATTGCCATAAAAAAGCGAATGGGATAAAATTTATTCTTCACCTTTTAAGAAATATTAATCTAACACGTCGTAACATCCACCATAATTAAATTAAAATTAACGCGCAGTGACTTTCACATTTTACTCTGCACGTTTTGTTTTGTTTGATACCCATAGAAGAAAGAATTCATCCGCACTCTTCGAGGAGAATGTCAACGACATACACACCATACAGACGGACAGACATGGCTTAATCAATTCAGAATTCCATGTTGTGTGTTTGTGAAGCTTCCTTTTTGTTGTTGCAAAGATTATGACAAAATGACTATACCTCCATCCTTTAGTGGTGAAAATGAAAAAAAAGAAACAAGAGCAACAAGAAATTACGTGAAATAAGTAAAGCGGCAAAAACAGAAAAAAAAAAAAAAATAAAGAACTTTTTAATATTCTACTCTCAGTATTAGTGGCATGGAAAGAGAAAACAACAATGAAAGTAAAAGACATGTTCATCTTCAGAGGAACTTTGCCGCAAGCACAAACAGTTTTTTGTTAAGTGTGGTCCTGTGCTAATGGGCTGCTTTCATTTTTCATCACAAAGTTTAGCTTGGCAAAGACATTAGACGACCCCAGAAGAGCTGGTCGTATGGATGAGTAGATAATCGTCGCGATCGGTTGGTCGATGTTCGAAAGTTTAAATCATACTTGTATGTAGTTACACTTACTATGCATTCACTAGGTTACGGTCACTCTTCATCTCTT